TGGTCGTAGCTGGTCTCAGTTATGAATTCCTGTTGCTCAGGACAGAATGCTCTGGAGTATTTAACAACATTTTATTGGTAAATGGGTGGACTCGAGCGATCCAGCCCCAACTGCCTACTTGAAACTTCTGTTGCTGTAAAGCTAAATAAAATATAGGAAAGTTTAGAATTGTGCTATAACTTGTGGGGATCCCTTACATAAGGAAACCAGATATGCATAAGAGAAACGAATCTAATACTGAGGGCCAGTCGCATCCATTTTGGTGCTTCCAGGTTTGTGTTTTAAAGGGCAGACAAAACAAAGATGAATTTTAGTTATGTACTTCAGTCTCCTGAAGTCTCCTATATTTGGAGTATTTTTAAACTATGGACGAGTGTCTCGGTCAGGGTGAAATGGAATGAAATACTGTACTGATGTTCGTGGTCTGCTCAGAGAACAGGCACTGAGTGATTTAAAGCTGCTCTGGGTCTCGTTATTTGATCCAGTGGGTGCAGATCCGCTCACTGATTCACTTCTCTGCCGGTTCCATGGCTGACCTTTTGAAGGAGATGCAATTCCAACTCTGTTCTTGTGTGATCTAATCCACCTTCCCCGTCACCTAAGCTCTAGCATCCTTCTGGTCAGATTCCGATTCCCACATATGTTATGCTCTTGGAACAGGGTTTATGGTCAGTTAAGGCACTGTGCTGTAAACTCCTTTTACAGTTGATTCTGGTACTGAGAACATGTAGGAGAAAGAGGAATGGGCTTGAATGCATTCTTCTCATTTACTTTTCTTCTGTCCTCTGATACGTGTATGGGAACCTCAGATGCAAGAATAGATGCCATGAATATAAGGGGAGAGACTGTTTACATTTTAAAAAAAAAAAAAAAATAGATGGGCTGATTAAACCATCTGCAAGGTACTGGATAGGTCAGTGTGAAGTGTTGATTTTCAGTAGGTTGTGTCATGCTGTGTCTTTCCCTTCACATGACAAGAGGACAAGCAGACCTGTCTGAAAGCTGGATCCAGCTACAAAGAAATTGGGTGATTCTTAAAGCGGTGGGTGCTGGCAGCCGGGGTGGGGGGGAGCTTGTCTCCTGTAAG